CCTAATGAAAAATTTCCTTCCTATAATATGTTTTCTTTTGGTAATTTTGAGTTTGCCATCATTGAGAAGTGGGCTATTGCCACGGTGTTTAAGACCATAACTAGTTATATCGAAAGTGACTACTGCTTACAAAGACAACTCCATATCTAGTCTTTAATCTTACTGAGGGATGAGAACAGATTGGGAGTTGATAATGATATGGGTGTGTTTGTCCACCTGTTTGGCATATCTATAACTGAAAATGACTAAACAACTCTCTCTCTCTCTCCCTCTCTCTCTCTTGCTCTCTCTTTCTCTGTCTGTCTCTCTCTCTACACACACACACACACACACACACAGAGTAGAACATACACAAACATACACAAACTCAGTAGAAAGATATATATATATATATATATATATATATATGTATATATCTTTTATTGAGTTAGTCCCTATCTAACTGGATAGGATCAAGGAATCTAGTAATGAATAGACATACAAATTTCGATCTAGAGGAACAGTGGAATTCCTAGAGAACTTATAATTCTTGCTATGCACCAGATTATCTGTCCAGTGGTAGCTCATTCATTATGTGGATACCTCTGGGCGTTTTTCCAACAGTTTTGACTCTTGTCTCACAGGTTATGGTTGGAGTGAATTATAAGTCTTGGCTTCAGATTATAATGTTTTTCAACTATCAAAAATGTCAGAAGCAGATGCTGGATATTCCAGCAAATCTATCTTCCTGCTCTTCTCTTTAGGCTGGGAAAAGATGGAAAGTTTTTAAATTAGCAAAGGAATACTTTCAGATGCTAAAAAGGGGAGAGAGTAAAGCCTGCACAGTTGTAGTTTGATTGCTGACCCCCCAATCCTTTCTTGTCCCCCAACACTCCAAATGCTCTCCTACCCCCAGTTTAGCCATTCATAGTAATAGGTCAGTACCTTTTCACACTTGGGAAATCTCATTCAAGTTTTTTTGTCAATGGGCAAGTCATGAGCAGCTCTTCCAATTTAAGGATGGTTGACGTCACCAAAGAGGCGATAAATATCTGTTGATATAATTGGATGTGAGATTCTGTGTTGTGATAGCAAAACTTTGCCCATTGCTGTTCGGAAGGACCCCATGATTTATTCAGGAGCAGATCGAGCACGCAATCTAGCTGTCAAGAAAGCGTCAGCTTATTAGGCAAGTACTGCGTGATTCCATAAGAGGGTCTAAGCTATAAAAATCCCGCAACCAAGCTCTGATTAGAAGAAAATCTGATCCCAAGTCCGGGGAAGAGACGACTCAGAGACACAGAAGGAGCACCTGAAAAGCTTCAGTCTCCTCCCTCTGGAGCTGAGAGGCGTCGGCTACCCCACTCATTTGCAGAAGCAGCTCTGAAGGTAGGGAGAAACCTGATACACGGCTTCAGACTCACCGAAAACTTTTCCCTGCTTTAGGCGTGTTAACGTGCTCGGCGAGCCCTACTTTGACCGAAATGTGTCTTTGTGTGTGCTTGTATTTATGCAGGTTATGTCTCTAAGTATATCTATATATTTCTGATAAGTGTCTGCTATCTGAGAAAGAATACCAACCCCAAAGCAACAATCACAAACCAAACGGGTGTTTTTCACCATCAAAATATCTCAAAGGCTTTTCACTCACTTTTTAGAAAAGGAGCCCCTGGTTGAGGGAGGGAGGATGGGGCAGAAACCAAGTTGGAAAGGAGGAGAAGGAAGAGTGAGAGCCTGAGGCTACTTATCTACATAGTTTTAGCAAAAAGTTTCCTCTTTATATTACATCCTGAAAAAGCAGAGCACGTAACGTCTCTTTGGTCGCGCTTAGCCCAGCAGTTGTGCTCAGAGAATCCAGTCTTGGGGGTTATACAGTGGGCAAAAACACCCTGGGGCCGCACCTTCGGCCATCTGGCAGAGAAAAGAAACAATTCAGAGAGCTTGGGGCCTGCTGGAGTGCAGGTGACTTTGGTTGCTACCAAAGCTTCAGTACCGAGGACAGCGCCCATAGCAAGCTTAGAGACGCCCATTCCCAGCTTCTATCTAAGGCCGTTGCAGGAATCGGAGGTGTTGCGTTGCGCAGTGTTGAGTTGTGCTGTGTTATGTTAGGGTGTCATGTGTAAGTGTGTAGAAAGTCACAGAGACGGAGATGGAATTCCTTCTCTCAGCTCAGTTAAACTTCACACCTTGTCTCTTTCTTTCCTTTCCTTTTTTCTTCCCCCCTCTCTCCTCTCTCCTTCTTTCCCTCTCTTTTCGTTCCTTTCTTCCCTCCTATCCTCTATCCTTTGTGCTGCAGATCAGCGCCCCGACCATGAAGCTCCAGCTTCTTGTGTCTATCGGGATCCTGCTGGTTACGCTCCTGCCCTGCCAAGAATGCAGAGCTCTCATCAGCAAGGGTTCCGCGTCGTCCATGGGGCCCGCAGCTCAGCCCCTGGACTTCTTCCAGCCGCCTCCACCGCCGCCGAATCAGCAGCAGCCCCTGCCTCTCCTGCTCCGCATGGGAGAAGAATACTTCCTGCGTCTGGGCAACCTCAACAAGAGTCCCGCTGCTTCTTTCTCCTCCCTGTCCTCATCCTCCCCCTCCTCCCCTGGCAGCAACCCTGGTAGCCACTTCTCCCCTGATGTCTCCGTCTCCAACTTTTTCCGAGGGGCCGTCCAGCGCCTCCAGCACCTGCAACTCCCACAGCGTTCCCTGGACAGCCAGGCAGATCTAGGGGAGGGAGGAGCTGAGAGTACCTACAGCGAGCAGCGGGAGGCGATGGAGAGGGAGAAGCGGTCGGAAGAACCTCCCATTTCCCTGGATCTGACTTTCCACCTCCTCCGAGAAGTCTTAGAAATGGCCCGGGCCGAACAGTTAGCTCAGCAAGCTCACAGCAACAGGAAATTGATGGAGATTATTGGAAAGTGAGACATCCCGTTTTGCCAAAGAGATTTTGCATTTAGCACAAAAAGAAAAAAAATACAGTATTCTGTACCATAGTGCTGCTCTGATATCATTTGTTTATTTTTATATAGCTTGACACATAGAGGATGTACACTGAGAGAGCCTATATCCCTTAAGTAGCATGCACGAAGTGTATTTAAGTGCAGTAACAAGAAAATTGTCCTTCGTGATTTTATTTTCCATCTCCAAGTTATTGTAGTGGTGTAGTTAGTACAGGTGTAGACCTTTGAAGAAACGTGTTGAAGGAGCAGAGGAAAGTAAGCTTATTAAGCTTGTGTTCTAAAGTCAAGGAGAGAGCTTTTCTTCCTGGACTCAGGGTGGTTGGGCGGGGAAACCGTGTAAGTTCTTCTGAATCAATTTTTTTTCTTGTAAACATTGTCATAATAAAACATCTTTCCAGCCCTCAGTCGATCTGGTTGTGTAAAAGAATGTTGAATATTTATATTTTTAATAAAAGCTGCAAAGGTCATGATGGGTTCATCTATATTTTCTCTTGTGTTTTTACACACGAAGAAAAGAGTTTCTCCTTTTCTCCCCACCCTATTCCCTTTATCACAAAGAAAACAGAGAGAAAAGTGTTCCAGAGTTTTCATTTCTACACAAACTACGTATGCTGGGAGAGCCTTAACAACAGCTTCTACGATGATGCAGAGGCCTTTGGCTAGCATTATGACCTTAGGATAAGTGTACAGTTTCCTTAGATTTTGAAGGTGCTTTCAGCTCTGACATCCATGGTTCCATGAAATGCAGCTGAGATGAAAAACTGGTTCATAATGACAATGCTTTTAAAACCTACCACCTATTATATTTAAGATAGTTTTGTGTGGGGGTGAGATAGAAAAAGGAGAGTGTGTGGGGGGAGTGAGATGAAGAGAGAGGGAAATAAAAAGATATACATCTCCAAGAATCACTATAAAATAACATGGTTTAATTTAGCAAAACAAAAAAGTGTATTCATCTCTGCTTCATCAAGATTTCTTAGCCTAAAGTGATCTCTTTTTCTAAGGTGTTAACTAAAACCATAGCTATCCTAGTACTAGAAAACTGGCAGCATGTTGCCACTGAAAGCTATTAAAGAAAGTAATATGTAAATTGGCACTTGTCAAAAATATTTCTGGGTGAAATAGTTTATGTAAGATCTTTAGTTTTTAAAACTCCACAAATATTCTCCATTCTCATAAATATCCCAAGTCTAATCACCCTAGTTCACAGGAATATAAACTACTTCTTTTCATCCTTAAAATAGAATATTTCCAAAGAGTTCAGTTTCACAATTAATCTGCCTAGGTACATTTCATAACTGAATTACAGTAACAACAACAATAAAAAGATCAACTTGTTAATGGTTCAAAGCTAATTTTTGTTTATATGAAGAAGCATCTTCTTTTCCTTGTAAATACATTTGCTTAATGACTTCACCAAACAAACTGGGGGGGGGGGGGTACAGCAAAGAAAAAGCCTTATCAGACTATAAGTTTAAAAAATTCACATTTATTTAGTAGTTCATACATAGGAGAATTACAGCCATGCTCCAAAGAATTCATTTATGGTGTGTCAAACAAAATGTGACTTGAAAAATATGTTTAAATCCATGCAGCATTTATGCAATATACTACCTTGACTCCTAAGTAGTTATGTAAGAAAGTAGACAGTTTCTTCTGAAAGGTCTCCCTTACCTAAGGAACAGATTTTCTAAATACCTAAACCTGAGACTGGAATAATACTGAAAGAGGTATACTAGCCCCTGATATGTATCTCAACCCTATAGTCTTTTGGGTTATAAAAAAAATGTCCCTAATTCAATGGACATTTTGCAAGTGTAAGGAAGTAGAAGTATCTAGCACTACAAAAAAAAGGTTGTTTTTTTTTTCAGTCATTTCATGGCTTTGGTCAATGATGTTTGCCTCTTGGAAATAAATTGCTAAATTAACCACTTGTAAATTAAAACACAAAATACATGTTCATTGACCAATGACATCAAAAAGAAAAAGGAGTATAAAACCTATTATAATCATAACAAAACAACAGGTTTTGCTTGTTTTTCTTAGCATTTTCCCACTAAGGGTTTTGTTACACACACACACACACACACACACACACACACACACACACACACTAACAAACACATACATGCACACCTTTATAAAATGTCCTTATACAGCATTTTAACAAGATCATCTCATTTTTCTCCTTGTTGTGGCAGCGAGTTCCACAAAGTACTCTCCCCACCCCCTCTAAGTGTTAGGTAACTAACATGGAATCAAAGCTTTTTGCAGAAAACTCATTCAGAGGTCCCATTCATTCACTATTTCATATTCATTCCATCTAGGTCACCTGCTGCCTCTGTCCCTTAGCCAAGCAGACAGAGAGGTAGCAGCTGGAATGAACATCATTCACTCAAAGAGTTTAACCAGGAAAAAGAGAAGATATGGCGGGCTGGTTCATTTTCAGTTCCATCACTGCTCCTTGAAGCACCTTCCACTTGGCCCTGGGGAGCAGAGCAGTCAGTCCTGATCTGTAAAAGAAGAAAATCTGTATCAAAGGAAGAGGGAAACACAGGGTGTATTTGAGTTGGTCTAGTTTTTTTTTTTTTTTTAAACAAAGAAGGTAATTTAGAGCAAGGGAAAAGGGTGGTATCAGTAATTATATAGAATGCGATAACAATGATGATGACAATAATTATTATTATTGAAAGGACAAAAAGCTATGAGAAACTCAGAAAACAGGCCCAACTGATAATGGACTGTGAAAGAAAAGGTGTTTATAAGCCAAAGAAGGGCCAGCAGTAACATAGCACTTCACTGAAAGCAGTGAAGGGAATGTCTTGAGCCTTATGAAAGGAGCCCAGGGTGCTTTGTTCTGTTTGTTTGTTTGTTTGTTTTAGAGAAGAGTCAGTTTTACAAGTCTTACTGATCACATTGGGTTCTTACAGATCACACTGAAATCAGTAGAAGTTTAAACTGAGAAAAGATAACAGAATTAAGCAGCCTTAGCAAAGATGAACACTCCAAAGTTTCAGTATCTCCCAGTAGGTGAGTACATACTTCTGTCCATGATACTAAAAGCAAAAAGTTTCTACCAGGGACTACAATGTCCTTGGTATTGGTTCTTCCAAAACTTCAGGGTTTGCTTTTAACAAGTCATGGAAGGCATGAATTGTCCTTCCCTTCTGCCCCCAAACAATAAAACCCAATGCAATGAGGATCAGAAAAGTACAACATAATTTAAAGATAACGGCATTCACAGGGTTTTATTTTCAAGTTCATGATCAATAAAAGCTCACTTGTAGTAATCAAGTATATTCAAACTTGATGTTGTTTTCTAGAGAACTAGGGTTTTTTTACTTTTTTTGGGGGGGGCCCTAGGCAATGGGGTTAAGTGACTTGCCCAGAGTCACACAGCTAGTTAAGTATCAAGTGTCTGAGGCCGAATTTGAACTCAGATACTCCTGACTCCAGGTCCTGGGCTCCATCCACTGCACCACCTAGCTGCCCTTTATTGAAAATTTTTAAAAGGAGTTTTGCTATTTTTTATAAGATATTTTTAAAATATCATTGAATATTATGGGAAACTTTTATAAGAAACTTTCATTATATTACAAATGGTGATCTCCCTAAATTTGAAGGCCTATTAATGAGCCCAATTCTTCCTATGAAAACCAGGGGAAAAAAGAAAGTGAGGGAAAACAGCATTTTAAAATATTATACTCGGGGCAGCTAGGTGGTGCAGTGGAGAGAGCATCGGCCCTGAAGTCAGGAGGACCGGAGTTCAAATCCGCCCTCAGACACCTGAAACTTACTAGCTGTGTGACCCTGGGCAAGTCACTTAACCCCAATTGCCAAAAAAAAAAATATTATACTCTAGATTGCTTAAAGCTGCCCTACTAGTTCAGAATGATATTGTAACCGATGAGGGAAATAAATGCTTGCATTCGACAACTGCAAAGCCCCAGGCATGAAGTTGCAACACTCATACATGCAAAATCCCTTTTTGTTGAAGATAGCTCATTACCTTCTCTTAAAATAGGCTGGAATGACACAGAAGAGTCTGGAATGCTCTTCACTACATGCTCTAACCTAAATGAGTACTTTTGGATGGTGCCCAGAGAAAGTTCCACATGTTCAAGAATTTAATAAGTAAGAGTCTTCCCAACAATACAGCTGTTCCTTGATCCTAAGTGAGGAAGGCCCCAGTCATCTTTCAGGCCCCGCTAGTCAGCACAGCACTGGATGGCATCAGGCTTAAAAAGTAGGTTACCAAGTTATTGTGGATTTTCTTTATACATTTGTATGCCTGGATCTACTTCTTAGAACTCACCGTTCAATTAATCGTCTGTTTCTGACAGGCCCATGAACTCAGTGCCTGGTTGTAAAGTACAAACCATGTCTTTCCACTCAACCTTTCTAGGATATAAGATCATATGCAAGACTTCAATTTGTAAGGGACCATAAAGTCCACCTGGCCCAAACTCCCTCTTCTGACAAATGAAGAAATGGAAGACCAGGAAAGTTAAGCAATTTGTCCAAAGTCACATAGTTAGTAAATGGCAGGACCAAAATTCAATCCCAGATCCTCACACTGAATCCAATGCTCTTTCTAAACAATTTGTGGCTTTAAATCAATATATCTATATGTGTGTGTATACATATGCGTATATACACATGTACATGTAAATATGTATGTATATACATATGTTTTAAGACAGCCAGGTTGTGCAGTGGTTAGAGTACTAGGCCTGGAGTCAAGAAGACTCATCTTTCTGAGTTCAAATCTGGCCCCAGACATTTACTAGCTATGTGACCCTGAACAAGTCACTTAGCTTTGACTTGCCCCAATTTCCTCACCTATAAAATAAGCTGGAGAAGGAAATGGCAAACCACTCATGTATCTTTACCAAGAAAACTTCAGATGGGGTCACAGAGAGCTGTTGACTCTCTGTAAAATGACTAAACAAAAACAAAATACATGCACATATGCACATGTTTTTATATTTAAGATTGTTCAGCAGAACACCTTAAGTGTGCTCAATAGCTTATATGTGTGTATGTATAAAAACATATGGCATACATACATAGGTGTATATAATTATGTATATATATATACGTGTGCAATGTATGCAATATATATACATACATATATGTATATATATGTATATATGTATATATGTGTAGGTGTGTGTGTATGTATATATATTTGAAAGGCAACATGGTACAGTGGAAAGATAATTCATCTCCAAGTCAGTAAGACCTAAACTGAAGTCCCACCTGTGACCCAAATTGGCTGAGTGACCCTCCGTAATTTACTTAACCTCTCGGTGCTCTAGGCCAGTGGTGTCAAACTCATATAGAAACAGGGCCACTAATCTGTGCAGAAGGGTCCTTGAAAGCCACATATTAACTTAGTTTCAAAATGTAATGTTATCTATGTTTGTTTATTGTATTTTTATTTATTTTGTTAAATATTTCCCAAATACATTTTAATGTGTCAGGAGTGTTATAGGGGAAGGGGATGTGGATGTTTGACACCTCTTCTCTGGGCAACTTTCTAAGACTATAAATTGCAGAAAAGGTGCCAACCTACATCAAGATGAGGGAATTTCATCACCCGATATCAATGAAATCACAGAACCAGTCCCTATTCCTAAAGTACTAAGAATAAGCTAGGTGGTGCAGTGGACAGCATGCTGGACTTGGACTACACAAGTCTTGAGTTCAAATTCTGTCTCAGATTGCTAATTGGGTGGTCCTAGGCAAGTTACTAACCTCTCTCTCAACTTCGATTTCCTCATCTGTAAAATGGATTTAACAATAACATCTATCTCACTGGTTTGTTGTGAGGATCAAATGATATAATATATGTAAAGCACTTTGTCAGTTTTAAAGTACTATATAAACGCTAGCTATTACAACATGTGTTTATTACTGTTACCTCACATAATTTCTCCACTCTACTCTAACATCTTTACCAAAATCACTGGGCTGTCAATCACTTTATTTGTTATTGTTGTTCAGTCATATTTGACTCTTCATGACCCCATTTGGGGTTTTCTTGGCAAAGATACTGGAGTGTTTTTCCATTTCCTTCTCCAGCTCATTTTACAGATCGAGGAAACTGAGGCAATCAGGGTTCAATCATTTGCCCAGGATCACACACCTAGTAAGTGTCTGAGGCCAGATTTGAACTCAGAAAGATGAATCTTCCTGACTCCAGACCTGGTGCTCTATTCACTGTGCTACCTAGCTGCTCCATTAAGCTTATAGGCAAGACCAAATGAACTAAGTAGATGATTGGTGTGAAATAGTAATTAGACTAGTCTTTTCCGAATGTATACTGAATTCTGTCTACCACTGTGACAAGGTCAAATTTTCCTTACAGGAAGCTCCTGACTAGAAAGAATTTCTATGGAAGTTGTTCTAGAAAAACCTATGTGAGACTATTGAAGGAAAGAACCTCTTGGAAAACCCAAGATGGAAGAGTCTTGGGGGTGGGAGGAGAGGAAGCTACTGCTCTCCAGCCACTGTGATATCTCTCTATACCAGGACACATCTGAGGTGGGAAGAACACCAGACAGATAGTCAGGAGACCTGGCTTCTAGTCTTTGCTCTGACCCTAACTGTGTGACCCTGGCTCTGTTACTTTCCTTCTCTGAGGCTCAGTTTCCCCATTTGCTGCAAAATAAGAATATGATACTTGATCACCTTTCACAGAGTTTTTGTGAAGAAAGCACTGTTAAAAAAATTATCTCTATACTAGATGCCAAAACCCTACTTAAATTTTAACATTTTGATGTCCTTAGCCCTTAATAGTTGGCTCTAAAATGTTCATATTTATCATTTCACACATCTAAATTTCTTGATATTTATTTTTATTTAGTTTTTTTCAGTAACCTGGGAAGAGAGAAATCTCATGAATCTATCCCATGGAGAAGCAAGCTGAAGTAAGTGACAGAGAGGCCATACTGGGGCCTACAGTGAAAGGGCTGGAAATGTGCCCTGAGTCCACAAGGCTAGCTCAGAGCCTCCTTGACCCTACTCAGGAACAAAAGTATAAATACTGGCTCCACTAAAATGTGTGTGAAACCTTCCTCTGCCTTAATACTTTTAAGTTGCAAAATAAACAGATCCCCATAACTCCCTTTTCACCATTCAGGGCTCAGCTGGGGTGTTATTTCTGCTTAGGCACACTTCATTGCAAGAAAGACAACTTGACAAAATAGTATTTGTTTTGCTTATCTTTTATAGAAAGGACTCTATAGCTCAGGGATTCAATCCCCTCAGCCTATTCCCATTATAGTTTGCCCAGTCATACTGTTTCTCAGTAGAATCCAGGTTTTCTCCAAGATGCAGTGGCATATTGATTTATGGAGGATCATAAAATATTATTTCTTTTTTCCTTTTTACACTGCAAATCAAGTCAGACCCAAGAGTTTTTCCTGAAACATCACCAAAATTTTACTCTGCCTTTGTTTTATTTTTTTAAATTAAAATCAGCGTTTATGGTGCATCTCTCACATAC